ATATTATAGTTATTAGGCCACACATATATATATCTATATTACTATTTCTAATACTTCTAGCAATATAACATATTATATTATAATATATACTTATTATCGTTTTTAAGTCACGAGGCTCTTACGATTTGAGTAGCGGTTCGACACATGCTAGACGCAGATATAACATAACAATTGTGGACACGAGTTTCGTTGTCATGATACTAATTGCGTGCAGAATTTTTTTAATAAAAATCACGCGAGTTAGCCCTTCACTGCTTTTTCAGGGCTCAAGCAAAATTTTTTTTTGTAACAGCCCGTAATTTAACACAAAAAGACACTATTCGTTTGCAAACGAGTAACTGTCGTTGTACCGCTAAATATATCGGTTTTCAAACCATGGTTATTTAACAGCGAACATATTTTGCTGTACAACGGCAGCTACTCATTTGCAAATAAAACTTGTACATTTTTTTTCTCGCAATACTAGTAAAATAAAGACTCGGATACAATAAACGTCGCTAACAAAATAAATGGTATGAAGCTGTAAATCGAAATGTCGTCGTCGTCGATGTCTTCGCCTGCGGTTTCGTCGTAAACACTGCAATTTTAACGAAAAATAAATCGATATTAACAATCATAATTATATTTTGTCTATCGTCCTAATTATTATATTTTTAACATGACTACTATAGTGTTCATTTTTTGTCCCCTACTTAATAATTTTATTTTTTACAGTCACTTCAATGCCAAATCATTTTAAAACGTTCCGGGCATATTACAATAAGGAAAAAATTGACTAAAACTTAATTAATGTATGCCCACTTATAATTTATACGAGTTCCGGTTTTGTACTCAGCTGCAGAAATATTACAAGAATTAGTAACACAACTTTATAAGGTTTGTGCCGTCATTGTAAATTATTTTGTTTTTATAAAATTACGAAGACTCAAAGATCTTTCAGTTTTTGATGGGCAATCTATTTTTACTAAATACAGTCGACTCTCTATAATTCAATCCTTCAATAATTAAAAACTTTCGGTAATTCGAAGTAAATATTCGTTCTCTTGAAAATCTCGTGATAATTCAAATAAAAACCATTAATTTAAGTACACTCGATAATTCGAAATTAAACTTTGGGAAAACTGAACGCTAACACTAGACAATCGAAGTTTCATCCGTTCAACGTTCGGTAATTCGAAGTTCATTCACCAAATGTATTTCTTATAATCTTTTCTCTGATAATTTTCTATACAATCGTGTAGAAATTTATCTATAGAATTATTATCGTAAAAACTTTATCGCTAGCATTTTATTTCTTAATCGTCTGTTAATAATAATAATAATAATAATAATAATAACAATAATAATAATTTAATTTGCACAGTTTAATTATATTCATAGTTTAACTTACATTTTAAAAACATGTTTTAACTGCAATACCTCCTAATTTTGCCGAAATATTTAAAAAATTAAGTATAAAAATAAAAACAAAATCATTTTTTAACTCTCAGTAATTCCAATTCTTAGTAATTCGAAATTTTTCTTAAGTCACACCTGCAACTCCGAAGTATCGATTGTCGACTGTATAGATACGTTTTGATTGCATTACAACGATCAAGCCGTGGCGGCCGTCTCGATCAAACGATGTTTACCTAACAAACATTGATTCTGTCCTTTCAACATAGTTGTTCGGATATTGTACGAAATATATTGGATTCGGTAGGCCAATCCCGCCGAGGACCCGTCTCCAAATTCCCTAACCCCCCCTCCACAGCCTGCGCACAACTGTATACACACAATTTGCTCACGGACCGTTATTGTACAGTATTGCATGTATGTTATATGATAACAAACTCGCTAATCGTATGCCGAAACGCTTGCCGTAACGGTGTCGTCCATCACCATCGACGGTGTGCTGTACGGCGATGGCGTGCTGTAAGGCGACGGCGTGCTGTAAGGCGTCCGCTGTGGGTGTTCGGGGCAACCGTCGCGTTCAGTGTCTGTGGCCGCGGTCGTGTGGCCGTAGTGATGACCGGCCCAGCCGTTGGTCGCGGCCGACGGATAGGGCTCGGTGACCGTGGCCTGGTGGCCGCAGTGACAGCGGTGTTGCGACAGTCTCTGCTGTCGGACCGGCAGTTCGGGCGGGACCTCTGACGGTCCGTCGGTGGCCATCAGAACGGGAGCGGCGACGACGGCGCGCGGCCACGCGAACAACGCCGAACACACGACGACCAGTGCGCGTCGCACAACCGCTTTGTCGCGGTCAATAGGCATGCCGTCGTGCGTGTGCGCGAGGAACGAGCGACTCTTGTCAAACGACTTCAACAATTTTTATCACACAACTGTGATCGTGAAAAATATGACACGAATACAATTATTTACTTATCGCGATATGATTTTGTGCGGGACAACAATACGGTTTAACGATATAATATGTCGGATATGCACATCGATCGGTGCTGTTGATTTTATAAACTGTGTTATGCGCGACCTGAGCATGGCTTTGGCGACCGGACGACACGAGATTTTGTAGCTAGTTATACGAGCGAATTAATATCACAAAGTTTTTTTTTATTATTATTTTTTTTTTTTTTTTTTTTTTGTAGCGAGCGCGTATAGCTCGCTTATGTCATGATATTACAATATAATATTAATATCATGACACAAGAGCATAATAATATAATATTATTACGTTTATTGTTCGTAATAATATCTTCCTTAAGTTGTGTGTACCGTATATCCGGGATTTTAGTATTACGATTCGGCCGAATCTACGAGATGCCAACGGCGTAAGGAAACCAACCGCCAAATCCAAAACCGCTCGCGATTGACTTATCATTCATTTCAACGTGACTAATTTGCGCATATTATAAGACAAGACAAATTTTATTTGATCTAGATTTAGTAAGTCGAGAGGTAAAAATGAAAAATGTAATTCTAAACTCTCTGTGGGGTATTAGAGTTGTATTTTTTTTATTATTTTTTTTTTTTTTTTTTTGAAGTCAGTTAGAAGATGTTGAAAAATCATGATAAAATTTTATAGATAATTATACAATTCATTATTTATTACTTCGACAAAATAAATAAACAATTTTATGAAAATCTTTTAGGCTTAAATTTTTTATTCATAAAAAATAAGACCATAAATAAAAAATAAGGTCATAAATAAAAATAGCCTCTTTATTTCTTTCTGACTCAAGATCAAAGACTAATAATATTTACTGCAATACAGTACATTGAATCTCATGCAACAACCAGTGTTGAACTCTAAATACTCCGAATGGTATACTTATTTACAGGGTTATAACTGTTGATCCTCGATTTTATATTTACAGACCAATTTAATGTAATTATCTATATATTATAGTAATTAGTACTAATAGAATTTCAATTAAACAATGTTAATAACTGTTTTATTCACAAAAAAAACCCATTATAAATTAAAATATTAATTAGTTGAAAACGAGCCTTTTGATTAGGTTTTTTTATAATTAATAAGGTAATTAATTTAAAAATATGATTCAGTATGACTCCAGGGCTGTGTTAACCCAGCTGCAAAAGGAGCATTTGATCCAGGTCTTTTTAGTCTATTATACTAACGACTTTTCAACATCTTTTTATTTAAAGAAGTGGTAATACTAGGTTTCTTTTTTCTTTTTTTTGTGTCCATAGTTTTCTGGCATCACTTAAAATGGTGGATATGAAATTTTGAAATTCAAATTTTATTTATTCACCTAGATATCGTATGAAACGTAGTTTTCAAAAAAAAAAAAAAAACAGTTTTTTTAGATCCTTTTGTTGTACAATTTTCAAAAATCATATTATGATTACATAAAAAGCTAGAGTAACTGCGCATCAATCTTTCTAATCTATATATAACGACGTTTTCAACATCTTTTTATCTAAAAAAGTGGTAATATTAAATTTTTAACAAAAAGGAAATTATCAGGTGGCTGTAAACTGTATAAGAAAAAAATGACAATTATAAACCATTTTTACTATAATATTGTAAATTTATTAGGTATTATAATTATTCAACTTATTAATGTTTACTTTTAATATATTTTCAATTTGAATTAAATCTCTTTTTAAAATTTATGTATGAAAATGTATTTATGGATAAATTAATAAATTAAACTACTAAAACAATTTTTTCTGATTATGAGAAAGTTTTAGAGAAGCAAACACCATGGTGGTATTGGATCTTAACCCAACTCTATATATTATGAATAACAACACTAAACTAGTTTTTATTAGGTAATAACCATCATGTGTGGTAAATATTTAATATATTTTATATATGTAGTTGTGTCTCCACTCTGCTCCGTTTCCCTTAAAAATGATTGTGGGTTTGTTAGAACTCGCTAATCTCCGGAACCACTTATAGTTGTGCACATATTACATTCATCAAAAATTGATGAGTGTTTACAGCATTTTTTAAAGTTATATTATTCAGATTTCTGTAGGATTACTCTAATGGTGTATATACAAAACTGTTCACGAATAGTTCCATAGCGGTGTTCTCTTCTAATATTTTTAAACTTAGTCCAAACTTGTACTAACCCAAATTCAATAACTGGAATGCACAAAATCTTCTTGTTGAATCATTCAAAAAAAGTAATTTGTACAATATATTGATATCTAGCGACATTGACGTATTATTATTAAGTAACTAGTTACTTGTATAAAATATTTTCATTGACATATTTAGTACTTTTTTTATTGTTTTTATTTATTTTAATTTTCATATTATCCAATAGTATCAACTATCAACAAATACTGATTTACAGGCATGGGTATTGTTATATAGATATATTATCCATATTATTAATCACATTGAAAATGAACAATATAAAAGTATTTTGAATAGACAATTTTTTTCGTTGACAGGATTATAATATAAGTTATTATTTTATGGTAAGTATTTATGGTATCACAATTATAACAGGATTTGCATTATTATATGCTTAATATATATATATATATATATATATATATATATATATATGATTTAATAAAAATGCGATATTCGTACTATAATATCATCAACAAATTATAATATATAAATCAAAATCGACTTTTGGAGTGAACTAAGTAGGTTTTGTATCTTAACAATATTATAGCCAGGAACTGATACCAAACACTCTAAGATAAAATGGAAAAAAAATAATGATGTATCTGTGTTTTGAAATAAAATGGACTTGTGCACTATTTCTCTGTCACTTTGAAGGTTTCCGAAGTGCCGAAGTATCTCCTGAGTCCACCCCCTCCAAAGTTTTTAAAATATCCAAAGTGTCTAATGCGGTAGAGCCCTGGTGTAGTGTTTTCAGGTATTGTCCATTTAATATCTGCTACGCTGTTAGCCCAAAGCCATGAAACTGTTTTCCATATGAATCTATAAAAAATCAAAAAACGTACGTCTTGTTAAGTCGATGAAAAGCTGTGAAACAAATGCGCTCGTATCCTTACTCGGTTTCCCAGTTAGCGTCTGTGGCGACGACGTCCCATTTGAAATCATCTGTAAGTCGTTCAACTGTCAAAAACGTCATTTCTAACATGGGATTGTTTCTGGGATTGGCGGACACCTGGAGAAGTGAAAAAATTGACACAACGATTATAGTTTAGGTAATTTTAATTCTAAACACTATTGTGAATAATTTTAAGTAACGTTTTGTCATATTAATTAAACACAATGATACACTTTCATGTGATCGTACTGTATATTTATTTTAAAATTAATAGGTTCAAGTAATTCAGGAAAGTAAGAATAAGAATTTAAGTTAATTTTTGTTGTATAATTATTTTAGTTTAACTAGATTAAAAAAAAAACCCTATTATACTCGTTTAATCTAAACTTGAAACTCTTTCGACATTGAATTTTAATGAAAGGAACGTAAGAATTTTTTTTTTTATTTTAATTATTCATCTAATTGATCTTAAGGATTCAAATTCCATTTAAGGAATTAACCTTTATGAAAAAGTTAAAAATTTTAACGTAATTTTGTGCTGGAAGTTAATAAGTACATTTCATTAAATTTTTAAAATGCTTTTTAACTTTGTGAATTTTATATAGTCACAGAAAAATTATTTGGAGCAAAAATTAATATTAATATTACACATATTAATAGTATTTTATTTTTGTATTAATTAATTTTTTTAGTGGTTATAGGGATTTTTTTTTTTTTTTTATAATAAAAATGAGATAGTTATACATTTATTTAAGTTATTATTTTCTATAATATGTCATTTATGGTTATCATTGTGGTAAATTTTCAAAAGTTTGATATTTTTTAAGTATTTTTATTTTTTTTTAACATTTTTGCATTATTTGAAAACAATAATATTATATTAGAACTAACAATATATGCACGTGTATTAGCCTAATAACTATCAATATATTAAAGCCTTAATAAATGTAAGTCTATTTTTGCATCCATGCAACGTTGTAAACACTGTACAAATATCGTAAATAGTAACTTACAAATTTCGCTTTTACCGTTTGACCCCATACGGCCGAGAACGGTGGTTGTTCGATACAATCGCCATAATTGTGTTGAGACAGCGGAGTGTCGTACATTGGGGTCGACAGTAACGACCACGCATTGAGTCTCAGGTCAACCGGTTCAGGCCCAGGGTCCAGTTTGTTGTTATCGTTCAACAATGTTTTTGCAAGTTTTGAATACTGTTTAAGGTAAATAGGCAACGTGTTAGGTCCAAACAACGTTGAAGCACCTTCATAACGCTGTAACTATTTATTAATATTTTATTATAATTATTGAAAACAGGTATATATTTTTTTTAGTTAATCATAATATTAAATACTAAGCAAATACAAAATATAATTCCTGGTTTTAAAAATAATTTTAATATATATAATTTTAATTTTTAGATTTAATGGTAATATTTCATCTGTAAACTACGTATTACAATGACTAGTTATCGAACATGTATTTTTAATATTTTATACATACACACATTTCTGAGAATATTTCTAAGTTTATTAATCCATATAAAATAATCTTCCTTAATTTTAAACTCCTTTAAGTATAATACAATTCAATATAATATAATATTATCATTGTTATAAATACGTATAAAGTTACTTAGCTAACACAAGACGCTCATTGACCATTGTATCAGTATATTGGTTCATTTGTGTGTTTTAATTTTTGCATAGGTAATTTTAAAGTAAATCCTTCCTAGTTTAATTACACAAAAAATCAATCTAACTTCTTATAATTTTTTATTTATCATAACGATATTTTTATCTTCAAATTTATTACGTAAGTCACAAATAGTCTTTGTTAAACGTATAGGTATAAACTATAGAGTTTAAATTTGTTTAAACAATAATTTAAAATTGATTAAATTTTTAATTATGTTAATACTGGATTGCTGTGTTATGAGTGTTATGACTTATGAGTATAAAAAATAATAAAAAAAGTATATAAACATTTTATATTTTATATAATCTATATTTGGTACCTTGTATTCTTCAGGTGTGGTTATGTAATCGCTATATGTATTGCAAAGTCCCGCAATCACTATAGTACACCAAGAGTTTTTACAGAGGACTTCGTGGATAGCTTTTCTTACGCGTCTCCCCGACATAGTTGTGAACTCGCCCGGGACACAAGCAATAATCAACTGTCCAATAACAGCTAATTGAGTGGAAACTATTTTTGGTGACCAAGCCAACGGATAATTAAACTAAAACAAAAATACGTCCGCTAAATTAGTGCAACAGTTCAATGGCTGTTATATATATGTGTGTGTGTGTGTGTGTGTGTGTGTGTGTGTGTGTTTAACATTGTCGTCATATTTGGTTTCACTAACTTCTCCAGTCGATATCAAAATTGATTTTTCTTCGTGGCATTTAACTTGTTCTGGACTAGGCTTGGGCACGAAGTTCGTCACTATATCCCATAGAGGATTGTTCGAGGATTTGGAACCGGCTTCAAATGAGAATAAGCCCGGTCCGTCGGTGGTACCTGATGAAAACGTATGGCCCATCGCTGGCTTACATCCTTTTCTTTTGATCGTATCTCCTCCAGGTATCTTATAGTCTACTTCTTCAGTGGTCATGTCTATAAATTGGTGTACCGCTTTAATCGGTCCTTTGATCTCGATGATAGGTTTTTCAACCATCAGTTCCTGAAACCGATATTATATAAAATTATCTACACGACTAGAACTATTTTACGAATTAATTATATGCATTTGTAATTAATTTCTTTATCATATAAATTGTGAATAAAATTAATCCGTAAATATTTTTAACAATATTCAAGTAAATAATATCAATTACCATGCCCATAAAAAAAATAAATAAACTCACATACGCTCTGTCGAACAGCCGTTGGGCTATTATTCTAGTGCTCTCTTTCATGTCGTCGCCCGGTCCGGATGCCACGCACAATTCATTAGCGTCACACGAAGGTCCTGGAATATCGCAGAGCTTTCCCGATTTCTGGCACCGAGGACCTTTGATGTTGGGAGTTACGTCTCCCAAGTTGGACGAAGCGAACGCTGCGACAAAACGTCCCTGTACGAAAACAAAACAATATGTGTCATTTTAGTCATTTTGAAAAAATTCTAATCGGCTTGCATTGCCCCAAACCTGGGTCGGCATCGAAACTCACTTTGCCTATAAAATTTTCGGGGTTCATCTTTTGCTCGAACAACACCGATGCGTATCCGACATTGTCCGATGAAATGAGCCTGTTGGTGTTGTTCATGCTAGTTGCATGCACCGCGTACCAGTTTATCACGCCCAACGGCATACCAGACTCGCTCTCAAACTTCAGCTGTACCATAGTCTTATCAACGTTATGTGCGTATCTACATCATCCGATTCAAAAACAAAACATACAAAGTACCATAATTAACATTATTATTTTTTGAAGTTTTCACAATGTTATATTATTATATTATAGATTTTCTGAGTAGGTAATCGATAATTGGTAATCATTGCAACACTTATAAACAAAAAATAAATTTGGATTTAAGCAAACTTTAAAAATTGGTACTCAACCTTAGTAAAAGTTTTTGACACTAAAACTTTTCTAAAAATCGGATTTACAAAATGGCTATCTTGATTTTTTTAAATATACTAATTAGACATTTTTTTAATACAAAATGTTAAAAAAAGAAAATCGAAAAATATTTTAAATATAGTGCAGACGACAATTGATAATAATTAAAAAAAAAAAAGTTTAAAATATTCAATAGAATAGAAATTATTGTAATAATTGTTAGCTCATCGTGAAACACCTTGTATATAGCGACAGTTTGGCTGTTTAATTTTATATTTGATGGGTGGAGAAAAAGTGCAAAATAATTTACAACATTATACTACGGTTAGTACAATTACTATATTATATATATATATTGACGTTTAATATTGGTATACAATTAGCTTCAATAAATTAAATGGATTGATTAACTGTTATAATATATTATGCGTGAATATAATAAATTAAAGGACCACGCTAATATAAAATTTGGTAAATATTTTTAACTTAACACCATTTAGCATAAACCGATATATTTTATACAAAAAATTCCAAATTATTACGCTTATGCTTATATGCAAAGTTATCTATTAATTATTAGTAATAATTGCATACAATAAAATTATTTAAATTTAATTCCATGTATACATATAATAAGCCAAATATTGCCAGTTTATCAGAACTGCAGTTGAACTATGATAATAAAACATAGTTACTACTGATATGAGTACTATTGTTAGACAGGGAAACTTTATTTTGAAAATTATTATTTTACAATGTTTATAAAAAAATGTACGTATGGAATAACAATACCCCAATCTCCCTTCTATGAAAATAAGTGAATTGAACGCTTATATTTCTAACAGTAAACGCAGATTACCTTCAAATATGATTTTCTTTTAAATTGCTCAGTAAATAATAATTGCATGCAGTAATAAATACTGATAATATTATTATACTACCTACGTATTGGTTACCTATGAGTGTATTCCTTTGCATGACGTATGATATGAATTAAAATACTACTTACTGCGCACGTTCGGCTTCTGGATTTAATAAATATGACTGAGGACTTCTATTTATCGATATTCCATTTAGTTCACCTTTATTAACAAATACACGTCCATAATCTAATTTGTCGTGGGCTCGTAGAATACTCTATAATTAAAAAATCATCAGTGTAAGTGTACAAAATGATCAGATTTTATAAAAAAACAGCTTTTTTTTAAAAAAAAGTAGTAATAATAATAATGCATGTACCCTATTTCTATAAATGTATATTGATATTTTAAATTTACTAATAACAATAATTTATTTATTTATAATCATATCAAATACGAATCGTGACAAAAATCTTTGATTTCTAGTACGTGCAAAATCGAAAACAAATATAATGAAAAAAGTCAAATAATATTTTATTTATTATTCAAGGTGTATATCAAAAGAAACGATAAAAAATCAAGCAAAGTATTTTTATTTTTGTTTTGAAGCGTAAGCCACTTGAAAAACAAATATGAGTGCTTTACAAATACATCTAAATGTTACTTGTTTTTATGTCAAACTTACCAATGTAATACCTTTTACTAAACAGTTTAAGGTTTGTTGAACATAACCCCAGGTGCTTAAGTCAAACAGCATATGTAACATATAACCTCCCGGCGTCGAATGTGTGTGTGTTGATGAAAGCATGAGGTTATTCGTGTCGTACAATCCCGGTAGCTTCTCATTCAATTTTTTCAGTACCTTCAAATCGCATTCGTCGTTTGATTACAATGCAATATATTTCATCATCAATCAAACTATTACGACAGTATCAAATTTAGTTGATTCTCAAATAATAAAGAAAGAAATAAAGTTGTTGGAATAATTAAGTTGTTTTAATGTAAATTGTAAAAAATATTAATAAATAAAATAAATTAAGATGCTGTACTGCAAATATAAAATGTATTTTTATTTTAACTACTTTTAGATAAAGGATTAGAGGAATGATAAATATATTGGTTTTATAATCGTGTGAGTTGAACATATATATATTTTTTTGTTCATTCATTTTTAGTGCAATAAAAATATTTTAACTTCAATGTAGAATATGGTTTCTAGTAAATAAAAATAGATTTAGTAGATAGTTTTTTTTTTTTTTTTTTTTGATAGAGGTTAAAAACAAAAACAACAAATATAGTCCGAAAAAAAATAAAAACAAGAATTTTTAATTCGAAATTTATATGATATATGCAATTCGAACATAACATAATTTAAGGCTTTAAAGTATATCAGAATATTATGCAGTGTTATATCTGGAAATTGTCGGTTTGGATGTATATAAGTTATTATTATTTAACGAAGTAAAATACTACGAATGCTGTTTAAATTAAAGTGGATTTCGTACACTGTTTTATTTGTGACGTTTCACGAATATGAATATGTAATTATTTGTTTAAGTCGTATTTTCAAACATTAATGATGAAATTTCTACAAATACGAAAAACAAATTCAAGTGATTAAAAGTATATGGACTCCATAAAATATGTATAGAGAAGAAAACTTACTGAACAAAATTGTAAGACATTTAAGGCATTTAATTTCTTTTCGAATTTATTAAAATCTACTGTATTATAATATTATAATATAGTTTAAAAAAAAATAATAATAATAATAATAATAATAGATTTTCAACTCACATCTTTCTTTATATGGTCACCCATCATTGCAGAATCGATGCTGACAAATGCTACTCTAGATGTCGAATCTTCAATTAAAAATGCTCTAGAAAATTGTCGCAAATGGATTCCCTCTCCACTTTGTTCCACTTTTCCGTATCCCAACTATACAAAAATAGCACGATATAAAATGATAAATATATTATTTATCAGTATTGAAATAAGCGTACAGGTAACGTATTCATTAAATAATTTTATAACGTGTTATAGACAATTTTATAAAACTTGTTCTAAAGTTTTTAACAATTTCAAAATCATATTATACAATTAACGGTTTAAACAAATTTGGTAAAAACATTTTATAAGTATATAATACATAAGATATATTTTATAACGATTATATTATAATCTGTTGATTATGAACTATTTTTTGGTATACTCGAAAATGAACAAATCGCCACTTCGTCACAGTCGTTTCGGTATTAAACCATAATTTTTATCATCAGTATTTCAACGTAACGCCACTTCGCCGTCAAAATGTACGTATGTTGCATCCAATAACGGAAACGCTTTTTTTCCACTCCGCGTAATTCCGCTATATGGACAACATTTCACGAAATGAACGCCTAAACTACACATAACAGAACTAGTTAGTAGTTCCATCATATAATATGGACAAACGCTTAGCGTAACAATATTATTTATTATAATAATTGTTCAAAATAATAAACAGAATTATAAAATATTATACTGATTATGAATATCATAATGTATTATTAATTATGTAAATTATGAACTATTATGAAAATAGTTGACTATGAATTAATAATTATGAATATAATGAACTGTGAATTATCATGAAAACGATTAATTACGAATATAATGAATTATGAAAACAAATCAATTAATCGTGAGTTTTCAACTTTTTAATTGATTATAATTTACAATATATTGCTTTTTAATTTCTTTGATATTTGATACCATGTATAAAATCATCTTTTCTAGTCAACTGTTTCGGTGTTATCGCAATTTTAAGTTTACTATAAGCAAATATAATTGATTTTTATTTCCGTGTTGCCTTTTAAACAATTAAATTGTCATTGTCTTTCTTTCCGTTCCTGCTTCTACTAAATAATTCACTCGAGTCGTCTATTATTTACTTTTTATACGAAAAATTAGTTACTTAATTGATAATGATTTACCCTTATTTATAAAATACACAATTTTTGTACTGCATTATACGGTATTGTATTGGTATTTATTCCGGTGATAATTTATACAATTTTAAATGCCTTATAATATTTGAACAATTGTACTCTAAAATTGTTATACAATTTAGTTTTCTGGAAATATGAATTATTGGTTAACTAAATTTAGATCATTGAAATGTTGAACTGGCTATTATAATTTGAAATTAATTTCAATTGGTTCAGTTTTCGGTGTACAGATTTTAACAAAGCAAATGCAATTTGTTATTTGAGCAATCAAATTTCTTACGGCACTTGGTGACTGTTATATAATTGTTTACATACATTAAAATTAAAATAATACTCACAAAAGTAACGCCTGCTGCAGGCCCAGTTACATCTGCAATTCCGATACCAATTTTGTACATTGAATGTGCTGTCGTGATCCATAACGACAACACGAACATAAATCTAAGCTCTGAAAAAAAAACAACAAAATCTATGTATGTATATTAAAAATTCAGACTTTTGAGTAAAGATTAAAGAATTAATAGCGTAAGTTAATAGTTAATATTAAAATTGTATAAGTATACTGTTTATTTATTTATTTACAGTTAGTAAAAAAATAAATACTTGATAAACCTGTATATTATACAATATTTCAAAAACTTAATATTATGTTTTACTTTTTTATAATATTTTTATGACTCTACAGAAAATTTAGGTTTGAGAAAAAAGTATTAAACATAAAAGAGTTTATAAAATACTTCATAAAAGAATACTCGTGAAAAATTTTCTGTGTTCAATTAGACATTAATTATTTGGTTTGTTCTGATTACTTGAAGTTTAACTTCTGTACGTTACATAATATTTAAGATTTGAGTTAATGTACTTTTTAAAGTTTTATTGTCTCATATTTGAACTTTGAAGTAATTGGAAAAAAAAATGTGTCATATGTTTTTACAATCTTTAAGTATACAGTACTGCGCGTATTATAAACACAAAATAAGTTATTTTGTTCTATAGGTAACTAACGTCGATATCATATTATGATACTGTAATACGGAAAAATAAAAATTAATTTTATTTGGGTACACTTATTTGAATATTTTAAGACTTTAAATCTTGCTTGCAAATTTTTAATGTATACATATATATGTATATATAATATATATTGTAATAAACATAATATATCAGACTTTGTATGTTTATGTATATTAATTATTTATATACTGTACCTTATATATTGATAATAATAATTATAATTGTTTTATTAAACATATTATCTTTATTAAAATTAAATAACCGTGATATGAATTATTCTTTTTACGGGGAACAATTTTTAAGTAATTTTATACAGGATATATATATACATTAGTTTATTGTGGTGTGTATGTGTATCATTGCGTATTAGTGATTGTAATATTACAATATAAAAAACAGTGGAAAGGAATGAGATTTCAATCTTTTCGTAAATTAATGTTTAATAATGGCAGTTCGACAGGAAATATAGGTACATTATTATACTTCAGACACGCAATATATTATATATTATATTACATTTTTACATAAAATAAACGGCTAAAAAAACTATACAATAGTTCGTACGTTATATTTAGTGATTGATGATGCTTTTAAAGTGAACACATTTATCACATATCATACTCGTTATGAAATTATAACCAACTAAAATATTTTATATTTATATTTTATACATAATACCTACATTTAAATATTAGAAAAGTATTTATTTTTAAATAATTCAATTTAAAATATACGTTTTTGTTTAAAAATTAAAAACTTATAGTAGATTAGAGTAGGTAGAAACCAATTACACAAGGGTAAAAAAAGACAAAATAAAATTTTAGAATTGCATACAATATACATCTATCTACAATTTTCCAAAATTTAAATTTCGAAAAAATGAATAAGTACTGTAGTTATAATTAAGTTTATCTGTGTATTTAGTTTGATTTATGTATAGTAGTAGTACTGTAATAACAGCTATTGTAGTATTGTTTCATGATAATCACGTTTTTCTAACAAATAATTTATTAAAATTAAATTTTTAAGATAATAGTAATATTTTTAGCATTCTTGTAACACAAAAAATTTAAATAAAACATTAATTATTGTATTTGATTGTATAATAAATTGACACATGTTTACCGGTATACCTACCTCACCATATCGATTGCATGTAAATCATGTAATATCGTGATAACTTTCTGTTTAACTATAATATAGACATTATGTTGACTACGTAAACTGTCTTAAACAAAATATAATTAATAGATTTGACAAAAAATGATTAAAAGAATGATAGATAAATTATATTGAAAAGCCATAAGTGGTTTTTAAATACAATAATATTATTATTATTAATAAATAATTATTTTTAACCTTGCGAGAGATATGATGACTATATTGACTTTAGGTATAACGGATAGTAAAAAACTATTGAGAGAATATAATATGAAATATAATTACTTTAATTCCATATTATAAATATGTTTTAACAAAAATTATGGTTTTAAAATAACCATAAGAAAAAAATTATATTTGTAAATTTCCAAAATTTCGCCTCTTAGGAATTTTCTTAAAATTTAATTTCCGAAAATTAACATAATTTCGTCATTTTAGTGACTTATAGTTTATACATAATTTATTATATATTAATATTAAAGAAAGTGATTTAGTAAGCATACTTATCACTCCCTATTTTTCCTCATTAATGCAATTCAGATTTTTAAATTTTTAAATATACTTATCATTATATTTTTAAATTTTAAAAAATGTTTGTACTAATTTAGAAGAAACAAACATCTATTTTTCAAATGATAAATCCCCTTTTTAATTGCACATTTTTAAATGGATAATTTTTTTAAAAATTTTAAAATATCAAAATCAAAATTTAATCTAGGATAGTTGTTACGTTATTTGATATTGTACTCGTTTATTAAAAATAATGGGTTTTTAAGAAAAGGTAATTACGGTGATTTGAAAATTTTAGCGATTAATATTAATTTAAAAACATTAACAGTTTATAAAAATGGTCTATATATAATAAATATTAAATTGAATATTATACATCTATTGACTATTTTATATTTTCATAAGATCATTTTAAAAGAATAGTATTCTGTTTTTATTTAGTATAATTATTATTATTTAATTCAAGTTTTCCTGACAATAATGTCATCTAAATTTACCATTAATTTTAAAATAAAATTTATTATTATTATTATTAATATAAATATTTTAATAACTTAGAAATAAATTCATTGACTTTTGAATAAGTTAAATAAAAATGTTCAAAAAAATTATTTGCTAAATAATTTACAGTAAACATGAAACTTTTAAACAGTAAATACAATATTAAGAATTTGAAAATAAATTTAAAACCAGGAAAAAGATTTTTCAAAAATTCCAAAAACAAAGTTTAAAAAAAAATTATTATCTAAAGAAAAAAGTGGGATAATTATGTTTAGTGAATTACTTTGTATATTGTATATATATTACAAATTTAGTACAATATATTAGTACACCAATTAATATTATAACTCGGCAATTATATTCATCATACAAAATAATTTTAGCCTAAGGTTCAAATTTTCTTGTACATTGAAAATGTTTTTGAAACAATGAAATTCAAATTGCCAATTAAAATTTCCATATTTAAAGTACGAGTAATATATTTTTTGAAATTTTAGAATTATTAAAAAAAAAATTTTATTTTATACTAATTGTTTTTATATTAATTGTAACTACTACTAATGGAATTATTTAAAAACATATTAAAAATATAATTATTTACAATAATATAAACAATTCTATGGTTTATATCATCATATATATATTTATTATTCAAGTTCTAAACTTAATTTTATACGTTTTATACCTACATTTGGTATTACTAATGCCTCTCAAAGCATTTAAGCATTTATAGTTCAATTGTTAAAATATTTTCAATAGTATTAACTCGTTGTTTAGTAATGGACAATGCTATGATGTAATCGACTCACTTTGGAGTATTAAACCAAATATTGTTTTACTGCTTGGAAATGACACTAGCTGTCAAGTATATTATTTTGTACGGTGTTTGCACTTTTCACCCAACTTAATAGTATGACATCTTTATCCGTTCTCTTTAATCTTTAAAACATTGACCAACATCATTCATCTTAAGTTCTCAAACTTTTTTCTATCTAGCAACAAATTTTCCCATCCACTCATATTATAATATTTTATTTTCCGATATCTTAGTAGTTAATTTGGAATTTTTTTCAGATAATAATGATTTTTAATTTTGAGTAAATATAATTAATAAAAAAGTATTTCTAAAAGTAAAATAGAAAATTAAAATTAAATGAATAATATACTATTATTTTAGAAAACTTTAGATTAATACTGTTCTATGTTAAGTTCAATATAAAATCAAATAATGGCCAATTAATTACTATTGTGGTTTATCAATTATATATTGATTTAAACTTAGTTTAGCCAAATAAAATGATAAGTTTGGACGGTATGGTATTAATATTGGTCTATGCCATCATCCAATTAACACTTTAATAATTGATTACATTTAAGTATAAAATAGTTTACAAATAATAATCATTTTAAGAATTTAAATTTTAAATAACTATAAGTAAGCTTTTAAAAATACAAAGTTTGTAGACACATAACCAAAGAGAAATGGGATGATAGCATTAAAATATTTTTTAATATTATGTCATTAAAAAATGTTTGTAAATAATAAATTATAGTTAACCATATCGTAATATATTTTACTTTTTATTATACTAGTTGGAAATAAAATGCCAACATAAATTCAATGACTAATTTTAAGAATAAAAAAATGTCTACTATATTAGCACAGAAATATAAAATAATACACTAAGTCATGATTCTGATACATAATACACGTTACATATTAATTATATTATATTTCAAATTTTATTATTATCACTGATACTGATACAATGGTTAAGTATAGCACTACAGCATAATTAAACAAGTATAAAACCACTGACAATATTTTTAAAAAAATGTATAGATTTTGATGTTTCTTAATTAAAACTATAATTAGTATTTAGTAACACACATAATATGACCCTACAAAAATAATTTAATTTAAAAATAAATAAATTCCAATGTCCTTGTCCTTGCGGTTTAAAGTATCTGTATGACGTTACACGTACGTATTAAACGAATGCATCTATGTATGTATCTACAAAATTAAACATATGTATTCATGGTTATTTCATATTGAATTTAAATGTGCTTACGAACATGACCATTTTGCTCGATGAACTCGGTAGATGACGATTTCATAGTCTTTTAAAATGTTATTATACGTCGACCGAATTTTTGGTTACAATATGACTGTCATTACCTATATTAAATATTGGACTTAATTTCGTAGTTTTATTTTTTTAAGTAATTACATATGTATTGCAGTCCATATCGAATATTTATCTACTTTTCACTTACTTATAGTATCGCAATTAACGGCCTTAACCTCTTCCCAAAACCGGTTGTATAATATAATAAATGTTTTCTTAGTAGGAATCGTCGTCTAAATGTAGTTTTGTGTATAACATTCCGACACACATACCCTAAGGTTTATTATACAATATATAAATATATATATATACTGTATCATACTATATATAGGTAACATTTGACTCGTAAAGGTATCTTTTTTTAAATCGTAATAGGACAATTATAAAGGCACGTCAAAGACAGACAAAAAAAAACTGTCTTCGGTAATTACTAATTTCCAAAATGAAGGTCGTTTTTCAGTTTTATTGATGGAGAAAGAATTTTTTTCATTTTTTATATTTCCAAAGACTAAATAATATTAAAAAAACAAAAAAACCAATATAATAATTAAAATATAAAAAAAAAGAAATAAGTAGATATTTACATTCAGAAGTAGAGCTCCTACTATATTTTAAATGGTTTTCTTTAATAAGCATTTTATAAAATATTGTTTCAAAACTTATGCATTATATTCTGTGTTTTATGTTTGAAAACTAAAAATATTGTATTTAGTTTTTACTGAACTTAAAATATTCAAGGTTTTAAAAAGTTTAACTTATCTACGTATTCAACGTTTAATTGCCATTGAAAAAAGTCACATTGTATTTTAATCAACATTGAATCAAAATTTAACTTACCTTACAAAATTCTCGAATAGTTAATTTTATACCCGTTGATTACCCATTTATTAAGCAATATTCATTTTCTTAAGTTTTTTATTGTTTATAAATTTCAAAAAACTTAAAGCCATATAATACGTAACATGATAACCTGGTATAGTTTTAAAGTCTTAAATAACTTCGAAAAATTAATCACTATAGAATTTAGTCAAAAATCAAGTTTTATTCTTAAAAACGCCAAACGTAACTTTCTATATAATATAACTTAAACCTCGTATTTATTAAACCTAAATAATATTGGTAAACTTGATTATCGGATTAAAACATATTATAACGTATTTAACGTTAAATATGTATTTATTTATTTATTTTTTGTTTAACTAATAAGAGCATAATATGGTTTATGACCTCGTTATAATAGGTTGAAATTTTTAGTATAATAAATTTTATGCTGAATATTGAAAATCAGTAGCTATTGATGACTAAAAGTTGATTGTATGAAACTAATAACAATAGAAATGTAGGTAGGTCCACGTCCTACTATTCTAGCTTACTCTAAAATAAGGTAACTAATAACAATATAAGAAAAGAAAAAAAGTGCTGAAATCGACTTACCCATATCTCCAATAATTATTTTCTGCAGTATTCCAGTTAAGTATTCATGTTTTAAATATATTTGTTATTTATTTGATAAGTATTACAACTTTTTTTTTTTTTTAGATTGTCTAAATAATTGTATTTTGAGCACACGGCAGCAGTAACGTGTTATAACGTCGACAGTTAGTTTCGATCTACCATGGCAGTGACGGCCGGTGATCCGATGATCGATCGGTAGTCAAGTGTGCGAGGTCGACACCCCACTTATAAACACGACGGAACACACGTACACAAATCATGAATTAAACAGTTTGCGCCCATATCACGGATGACATGATGGTATCGTTTGATCCTTTGATACTGTTCGTGGTATACGTAGTGTATTAGTATTAAACTGCCCTATAGAAGTTTTTGAAATAAAGTTCAATGGTTTATAAATCACTCTGAGTTATTGAGGAGAACTGGGACAGATTTTACTTCAATAGATCGATAGAATAGACTGTGTTTTATCAACATCGTTGATCTGACCTCGTGAATTTAAACTAAACTAATATTATTTTATTACTATTTAAAAACTATAGGTTATAATTATTTACGATTTATTACTATATGTTGCCTGTACAATTTTACACGAATGTTTATAATTTGTTCACATCTATCATTTCCGATATCTACCAAAAAAAAAAAAAAAAAACATATCGACGTGACTATATTTTAACTGAGTACCATTTTATATAGATACGGCTTGAACATTTTTTCAATTTACATATTTTTTATGTCTATAATACATATTGTTTACACATCATCACAAGTCCATAGTTACACATTATACCAGAAAAATTAAGAATTTACATTTTTTGTTCAGTGTGGAATAATAAATTTAACAATAATTGCATTGCAATTAGTAAAATTACTACTATCGTGCTATCGTGCGCCAGTCAATTGAGTCCCCTATACCTATAAGCACCCTATTTATTTTTTTCGTTTTTAAATTGTATCAACGTTATAAGCAAACTATATATCATATCATTTTTTACTATATTATAGACTATAATAATACATTACACAAAAAAAAAAAAAAAAAAAAAAAAAAAAAAAAAAAAAAAAAAAAAAAACAATATACAAAATAAGAACATCTGTTTCAAATGGATTCCGTGTATTCATTGGATGATTCTTGAATTTTTCCTTATTTGAAATACGCAATGTACTGAAACCTCGTCCAAACAATTATTCGATCTCCAAGACTCGGATATGGGTAATTATTAATTCTGATCGTATTACCGTATACATTATTTAAAGTAATTAATATTTATATATTTAATACCAAATCGCTGATCAAGTATTGCAAAATATCGTATGGACAAAATCTAGTCAAAATATAAAATATAATAATATAACATCTTAAACATTTTAATATAATATACATAACTCACATTCACATATTATTATAAAATTTAATTATTACTATCAGACACGTAAATTGAATTTTGTTACCCCGAGGCCACCCTTATTTTAGAAAGCTAGTGCAGGGCTGCCGTATTTGATTTTACTTTAATCAATTTAAACATTTTCAGTATATTTTAAACGGAAAAAATATTGCCTTTCACCACGATCAACTAACAATTTTAATATCATATTTTCCGTAGATGAAATAACTCTTACAGAAGGAATGTATACTATATACAAAGGTCAGCACTCTACGTCTCTATAATACACGTTTGTAAAGTAAAATCTAATTCAATATTACTAATTGGAATAAGCAATCTACTAAAATTATCGATTAGCAATAAATGATAACAAAAATTTTAGTTACGGAATGTTTGAACCAGAAAACAATAAACGTATTCGCCAATATAATAATAATTATGAAGTTGAAAAAAGATAAATTTTATCTGTTAAACAAGTGCTTAATAAACTTTTTTATTTCATCATTTATCAAAATAATACTTACATATTTATAAGAAAATAATAATTATTATTGAAATTTAATTCTTGGAAAATTGACTGTCAAAACTCCAGAACGCTATAAATTTGATATTTATTATAATTCTATAAAACCGATCAAACTTAAACTTATAATAAGCCTATATTGATTAAATAAATACAAATTATAAAAATATAAATTCTTATTTTTATATAAATTGTAACTATATAATGATTTGAACTATGTTTATAATATAGTTTCTTACCGTTTTTCTAATTTGGCGAAAAAAATACCTAGTTATTAATATCAAAACGAGTAATTGTGACCTTAATATTCTTTACAAAAAATTTTATTTTGCATATTTTTGTATTAATAGCAACATTTAAATATATTTATATATATAATATGTACACTGTACAACATTAAAGTGCTATTATTTATTTTATTACTTAACAAATCATCAAATACAAAATAAATAATAATTGTCTAACATTTTATAAATACTCATATTTATAGTCACGTGCAAACGTACTGATAACTTGTGAAATAGGTACGTAAGTTAAATATGAAAGAAAAAACTTCGAGGACAATTTCAAAAAATCGTATTAACTTGTTAGTTTTTACAAACAAATTTAAAGTACTTTATACTATTTTTGAACACAAAAAACCCATAAAAATTTACCACTCCTTCATAGTAGGCTGTGGCATATTTATGGGGGGAGGGAGGTCCAGGGACCTACCAGAATCATAAAAAGAATAACTAAATATATTGAAATATTAATTGAATAAAATATACTATTTTTTTTTTTTTTAAACCAGCCATGCAATTTTTTTTATTACAATTATCTATTTTTATAATCTATTAATTACTATTTCCTAATAATAGTACCTATATAATATGAGAAATTAAAATATGTTGAACCTCCTCCCCCCAAAAAAAGTTTAAAATACGCCACTGTAGTTAGGTATTTATTCTAGGTATAAATATTGTTACCAAAGGGCTTGATTTATTTACAATCAATTAACTAAGAGTCTAAACATCATAATATTATCCTGTTTTTTAGTCAGTTAATATATTCATTTATCTAAACATTTTTTTTTTTTTATTGAGACATATTACATGACATTAAAATTATTACAAATAAGTGTAAATAAATATTAGAGGTTAAGATTTGCCAATAAAACAATAATTTTGATAACTGATGTGTATATTACAATATTATCTACTTTATTATCAATAATGACGTTGAACAGCACACGTAAATTAGCTTTTATTTATTTAAATTGCATATAATACGCATGCATATAATACACATAATGCGTGCACTTCTGTAATAAAATATAAATAACATTGTTTTACTTATCTTTATATTAAGCAATGTTCATTTTATACATCATAAATATACATTTTAACTCAATCAGAAAATGTATCAATGCTTTATCAAAATATCTATTTTTATCGAGTATGGACATAATTAATAAAATATATATATATACATACTTACCTACGCGTATTATTATTATTTTAAATTCATCAACACGTACAATATAATAAAAAAATTATCATATTAAATCATGAAAGAATGTTGTATCAATCTTAAATAATTTTTAAATGTAATTCTTTAGAAAGATAATTATCTTGTTCAACGACGTATATAATTTAATAACTCAAATGAAAAGTAATTAATGATTACAAAAAGCAATAATTAATTGTTTATTAAAAGTGCTTGATTATTATAGTAACTCAATTATTGTTGTCATAAAATTGAACAAATATTTCATATTCATTAAGTCGCTAAATTAAGATATAGGAATATATACCTATAATTTTTAATTTTTTTTTAACCTTTTAACAAAATGTGTGAAATAGTGTTTTAATTTTTTAAGTACTTATTATAAAAAATGAATATTAAAAATAAATTGATATCATGACAGGCTTTTATATTTCTTTTTTTTTCTTTAAATAAGTTACCTGTTTCACAATCGGAAACGAAAATAGTATTATTATTCAATTGAAATAACTGGAATAAACTTATACTTTATCATCATTCAAACGTATAGATTATGTAATTTATACATATAGTTGTATATTTAAGTTTTGTTGTATTAATATACAATATAACTAAAATTTCAAATATGGCTGAATAAAAAAAAAGTGTTAATTATGTAATTTTAAATTAGATATTATTGTAGGTGCTGATAATAGTTTTAACTTTATAATATCTTTGAAATTATTTATGGTACGTCAGATACTACAAGATAATAGCATTAATAATAAGTGCATCAATACATCATTGTTATAATTACTTACAATCAAAATTAATATGACATAATATCAAACCGTACTTATGCAACGTTCATTGAACGGTTTTTATTATTATTATTTTTATTATTACTGATTCAAATAACTAATTCGTATCCGGGCTTCGTCAAAACATTAAAAGGGCATTTAAGTTTGTCGATAAGAAGTCAACTTGGAGAAACCGTTATTTAAATGTTTAATCAATACAATATAATAAATTGTGTCATTAGCGACACGGTTTAAGATTATATTCTGATATTATCACCAATCGTGATGTGCCATGCCACGAGGTTTCCTAACTCTGGCTACAAAATCATTAATATACTCGTCGAGAAACTTTTTTAAAATTTATATCAAAGTCGTTCACCTTAGGCTAGATATGTATTCAATAATTATACACACACACACACACACGCGCACAAAATACTTAAACATATACGACACGATATATAATATACTCGTTCGTATCAATATCCCGTATTATGTAATTTCAAAATTTATATAATCATCTGAAATGTGTATAGTGTATAATATAATATGCATTATTATTATGTCGTATTGAGTGTCCGTATCACACAATAACGCTGTCACCGTGTAGGTATTTTATTTTAACAATAATATAATATGTTGTCGGGCGTGTGACATTATTGTTTTTTATCCAGAAACCTTTTGTAGGTTATTCAGACAGTACATAAGTATATAATAGTAATATAGACACTAAGTATAATTTTATTATTAATAATTATTATTGTATTATACGAAAATACTGACGTAAACGATTTGATTTAGAGAAATACTACAGTCAACCATTATTCCCCGCACTATG